GCCTTCAGCCGAGGTGCTCCGGACAGTTTTCCACCTATTTCTGTGTCTCAAGGGATCAGGATGGGGCACGGGAGGGGAGCACGAGGTGGCAGGAATCCCACGGCCAAATCCACTGAAGACTCAACACTGCCGGCAAATCCTCAAGGCTGGAAAACTGCCCATCAGAGCTGGGGAATCTCAGTTTCACGAAGGGAAAAGAAGTTTTCCACGTGCCATGATCAGAGCAGCGTTTTAAGCTGCCAGCCATCGGCAGTGCCTGCTGAAGGGAGCCGCGGTCGTGGCCCGAGGGCTGGGGAGCCCTGGCTGTTTGGTGAAGCTGGCTGTTCTCAACCAAAAATGAACGTACCTCTCTCTGCCCCCTTGGGGAAGTCACCCCGGCTGCTGCAGGGTCCTGCTCTGCCTGTGGTCATGGTGGCGTTGGAAATGTCGGACGCTGGTGGAGGCTGCGGTGGAAAGTCAGTTGCTGTGACACTGGTGAGACGCTCACGTTGGGAAGAGGCAGGAGGAAGGGCGCAGGGATGAGGAAGAAAGCCGGGGAGGTGCCTGGCAGATCTCCCTACGATCTCTTCTATCCAGGAAGGGGAGGTGGAGGCCAACCCAAGGCAGCACTTTTCTCTCTTTAGCAGGACACAAGTTAATGTTGATGTGACAGACTGAAGGCATTTTAATTGCCCAGTGAACAGTTTGTAACCTTTGAGGGACTCGCTGGCAGTGCCGTTGGGGCATTGGGATGGGCTGCCCAGGGCGGTGGTGGAGTCCCCATCCCTGGAGGTGTTTAAGAAAAGACTGGAGGTGGCACTTAGTGCCATGGTCTAGTTGACATGGGGGTGTTAGGGCAAAGGTTGGACTTGATGATCCCAGAGGTCTCTTCCAACCTCATTGATTCTGTGATTCTGTGATCCAAAGAAGTTAGGAGGGTTTCGGCTCGGCATGAGCAGCACAGCGAGGCCCTGGGCACTGGCCCCCAGAAAGGGCTCACACGAAGACTGGAGGTGGCACTTAGTGCCATGGTCTAGTTGACATGGGGGTGTTAGGGCAAAGGTTGGACTTGATGATCCCAGAGGTCTCTTCCAACCTCATTGATTCTGTGATTCTGTGATCCAAAGAAGTTAGGAGGGTTTCGGCTCGGCATGAGCAGCACAGCGAGGCCCTGGGCACTGGCCCCCAGAAAGGGCTCACACGGAGGAGGGGCAACCAAATCAATTCTGTGATTCTGTGATCCAAAGGAGTTAGGAGGGTTTCGGCTCGGCATGGGCAGTGCAGTGAGGCCCTGGGCACCGGCCCCCAGAAAGGGCTCACACAGAGGAGGGGAGGGCTGATGGCACCGAGGGGGAATGATTCAGACAACTGGGTTTTGTCACCCCTTACATTTGAAGGAAAGAGGTCATCACCAAGTGTTTATGTAGCAATTTTCATCCTCCCCATTTACAGACTCTTTCTTAGGACAGGAGAAGACCACTCTGCTTTCCAGGCCTGATCAGCAAGAGCCTGGCATTAAATGACAATCTCTGCTGCTCACCTGCGCTGTATTTCATAGAATCATAGAATCATTTGGGCTGGAAGAGACCTTTAGAGGTCATCTAGTCCAACCCCCCTGCGGTGAGCAGGGACATCTCCAACTAGATAAGGTTGCTCAGAGCCCCATCCAGCCTGACCTTGAATGCCTCCAGGGATGGGGCTTCCACCACCTCTCTGGGCAACCTGTTCCAGTGCTTCACCACCCTCATTGTAAACAATTTTTTCCTTATGCCAAGTCCAAATCTGCCCTCTTTTAGTTTAAAACCGTTACCCCTTGTCCTGTCACAGCAGACCCTGCTAAAAAGTCTGTCCCCATCTCTCATATAGGCCCCCTTTAGGTACTGGAAGGCCGCAATGAGGTCACCTCGAAGCCTCCTCTTCTCCAGGCTGAACAACCCCAACTCTCTCAGCCTGTCCCCATAGGAGAGGTGCTCCAGCCCTCGGATCATTTTCGTTGCCCTCCTCTGGACCTTCTCCAACAGGTCCATGTCTCTCCTGTGCTGAGGGCTCCAGAAGCAAAGGACAGTGTTGGTACCTAAAACCTCCCCGCAGCTTCAGCACAAGCAGAGGACGATCCCCAGAGGTGGGATTTGGGCACAGCCCACCCAGCGATAGCATCCCTGGCCCTGGGGAAAGCAGTACGGCTCTCTCATAACCAGAAGAAAGCAGCGTTTCAAACGGGAGCAGAGCTTTCTGGTATTTTCCTAGAAAATGTTTCTCAGTAGCTTTTTTTCTATGCAACAGGAGAGAGACATCATCTCCACATTAATCAATTAATAAGCGGCGGCAGCAAGAGCTCGTGCCGATGGCAGCTCTCCGTTAAGTGCGATGGGTCGCGCAGGTTTGCGACTAATGGGCCACATTAATTCCCAACTTGTCTCAGCTCGGCTGTGTTGGCTTTGGAGGAGGGGGAGGATTTAAGACAATTGCCATTCCCATCTTAGGAAGCAGCTATTTACTGTTGTTACTGCACATCAGGGAATACTTTAAAACACTCAAAATCTATCACCAGCCAGATTTTAACCTCCTTTAGCAGGGAGTGGGAAGCAGGTCCCGCAGATGCGGTGTGGAGCTGTCCGAGTTGATGGTGGAGCCTGGCCGGGAGCCACAGCCCCTCTCC